ATTCTATTTGACATATCTTCTGACATTCTATCTGGCATATCTTCTGATATTCTATCTGGCATGTCTTCTAACATTCTATCTGGCATATCTTCTGACATTCTATCTGGTATATCTTCTGACATTCTATTTGATATATCTTCTGACATTCTATCTGACATATCTTCTGACATTCTATCTGGCATATCTTCTGACATTCTATCTGGCATTCTATCTGGCATGTTTTCTGGCATTCTATCTAGCAATGTATCTAGCAATCTATCTGACATACTATTTGGCATACTATCTGGCATACCTTCTATGCAACATTCTATCTGGCAATCTACTTGGCATTCTATCTGGCAAACTATCTGGTTGAGGTCCAGCGGTGCACACTGCGATCAGATCCTTGCGGTTGAGGTCCAGGGGTGCACACTGCGATCGAATCCTTGCGGTTGAGGTCCAGGGATGCACACTGCGATCGGATCCTTGCGGTTGAGGTCCAGGGATGCACACTGCGGTCGGATCCTTGCGGTTGAGGTCCAGGGGTGCACACTGCGAACCGGAGCTGGACGAAGGAAGCAAGATTAGCGACGAAGGAAGCAAGGAAGAAGGAGGAAGGAGGAGGACGAGGAGGCGGCGGAGGCGGAGGCGGAGGCGGAGGAGGAAGAACAGTTGTGATAAAATCTAACAACCCTCACCCGACAAGTGGGTAATAATAACACCATCTTTAATTGTAATATGCGACAATCAAACATATTCATAAATTCGATAAATATCATTTTTTTTGCCAAATAAAATTCTAACACATTCGAAAATCATTATAATGAATATCATATATTTAGAATTTTAAACCGATAATAATATATCAAAAGCAAATATATTACTATTATTACTATTATTGTTATTGTTATTCACTTCCGGCAGAAGTAGCTCTGCCCGTGTTAGGCTTCGATCCGTAGATCGACTACGTCTAGCGCATCTAGCCGGCATCGACAAAATTCATGGCTCTTGGCTGGACGAAAAAAGCACGAAGGGATTGCAATGTACCAAGGATTTCCAAGCACTGGTGAGGTGTGTGCTTTCAACTAGCCAGAGGAGGTACAAGTCCTGCTCTCAAGGTCAGGTGTGAGTGCACATGGCAGGGCTCTGCTCCAGTCTTCGGTCATGAATCTGCTCCCTCCAATTCGAAGGCAGGCCTAGTAGTGGCCGGCGTGGGGTTCGACACCTCGGTGAAGCACGACAAAAACTATCTCAAAATGTTTCCATCTAACAATCCAACCTTGTTCATGAATAAAATACGGCAAGTGGACGGAGACTCGGTTCCATCGAAATGGCGGTGAAGACCGAACTCCTAAAGTTGGGAACCGGTTCACTTGGAGGCATACCGTCGTAGTGGAGTCTGAAAATCCGCAATGAAATGGGACTTGTTCATGCCAAAGATTCACTAGATCTTGAATGGTGCAATCGCCATCTTTCGTCTGCTGAAGGAGGACTGGTGCATAGAGCAAGCAATCCTCTGTACAGGCTTCAAACCTTGCTTCCCATTTAGAAACGGGTCTTCCGTGTTCCCGTGAAACCCCATGCAAGGGGTGCCTAAGCCAGCCAACAAACTCAGCTAAATCATATTGTTTCCCCCACTGCATGATACGTATACCATGGCTTCAAAAGGTGACCCAAGCAATACTCATCCGTCAATAAAATTGATGGGAGTTAGACTGTGCAAGCAATCGAACCAAAGAATCTTTTCAGAGTCCCATGTCATGCCAAACAAACGTGTCATCCATACAACAAGCCCAGAGCTCGGTAATCAGAGCCGAATTCATGTAGCAGACGTTTCTGACATTCCCCAATGAAAGGGCCAGGATGGCCTGCCTCATCTCGTCAAGCAAGCTGCAATAGCCTGAGCCAATGGTGATCTCTGCAGTGTCGACGGTCGGATTCGAACAAAAATCGGCTGCGTCGGTCCGCTGCCAACCAATCCCACCAGGGCCGTACAACTCCTGAGCAACCTATCCTCTCAATAAAATGTCCAGTTTCCAAGATACCATAACTGAATCCTTGACCGTCGAGTCCTAAGGCATAGGTTTCAAGGCCGAGAATCTGGAGATCAGATCGGCCTAAGTTACCAATAAATGGATCTTCTGGATCAAAATAGAGGTTTCCTCGGATGAAAATAAATTTCGGGTTGTGGCCTTCAATATTTTCTCGTTAGGGTCCCACTGTAGGTAATTCCTAGAGTTAGTTGCAATCAATATCTACTTGCTCTAAAGGGCCCGAATCCGAATCAATTCGTAGTCGTTTGACCCGAAAGAGAATTTCGAAGCTCGAAAAAACAACTCCTCGAACACTAATCGGAACATATATTAACGCAAAGATATCATAACTTGTCCGGATTCCCTCTGCCCATACCAATCCTTTGCCAACTTTAATATCTATGGCAAGATATTACCTTTTCCTGCCTAAACGAAGAAAAATAAAACTTTTATCGAAGTGGTAATTGTGGGTATCCAATATTTTTGTTTATTAAAACGACCATTCGTCGCGAAAAAACATTAATATTCGCGAATCCTATATTTTTCTTTCGCGGGGGTTCACCAGGTCATAAAACCATTTAACCTAATAGAAACTCGATTTCTAAATACAAGTGCACGGAGTGTTTTTAATTCAACAAGAAAATACTATAGACAGGAAAATAGTAATGAAGTAGAATTTCATTAATACATGTTATTAGAAAAAAAAATCTGCACAAAAATATTGGACGTTAAAATTTATAGCATTACTATGAGCTACGGGGTTCCTCTAGAGCCGATTCATTTAGCGAAACCTTCGCCAGACTTTCACGATATTTATAATATAAGTTAGATTTAAAAAAAAAAAATAAAAAATTTCATACGGATTCCAAAATTAAAGCTATTCATATTTTCGCGAATCTTTCGTAAAAAAAAATACATTCGCGAATTCGAAAAAACAATTTCGCAAAACCTACAATCATATCATCCAAGGCTCTCGACATAAAAAATTCTTACAACAACCTTTTGCATAATTCCCAACAAAATTTAATTTAATTAATCCTCCTATTAAAATTAAATTTCCATTATTTCCCAAATCCGAATCCAATAAATGCAAAAATTTCCACTGCCCCCTACGAATAAATAGCCGAATTAATACTTTTTCCTCCTCCTCAATTCTAAATTTCTTTACAAAATAAATATTACAAACATCCATTAATTTTATAAAAAATAATTATATCCATTTATATATTCCATTTATCAAATCAAGAGCAAAATCCCAGAAAAACCAATTTTAGACCAATATAAAATATACTATTTAATCTAATAATTACTATATTTTTCAAAATCAATTTAATAAATATTCAATATTCTTTAATTTTATACACATATTATTTAGAATTTTCGAATAAATTAATTCAATCTTAATATTTTTCTTCAACAATTAACTATATTTATCGTATTATTATTCCGATAAAATATATATCAATTTTACAATTATTTTTTTAAATTCGAATATATATCTATAATTTTAAATAAACCTTAAATCGATTTCTTACTTATTTAGTTGTTTAGATTTATGAATCTTTCCTAATTTATTGTTCGATAATCTAGAAATTCAATTGATATCATTTGATTATTGATGTATGTTAATTTCTTGTCATTCATCTTCCTTGCTTCTTGGCCTTGGAGGTGCCAACCTCATTCAAGCAATCAAGAAATGCCGGAAACATCTTGTGAACCTTTTCTGCAATTGAGACTTGCTGAGCCCCTGTCTTGAGGCAATCCACCGTTGATTGCTTCACCTGGAGCGTTTGATTCTCTTGCGAAATATGCAAAGTTAAGCTTTAGAAAAACTGAGACCCCTCACGGCCGGGCATCCTTTAGCGAAGGCTTTGGCATTGCGTGCGCGCATGACCAAATCAAAGGCACCAATGTCTTGCAAACGCCTTGGGACATCTTGGAGCTAAAATGTACATTTGTTGCGCTGCAGTCGTATTTCGGATGCACAAAAACTGAAACAAATCTCGCGTGCTGAATCAGAACAAACGGTACGCAATCAGCCAAGTCGCTGTGCATCAAGTTCTGCAAAACGACGCAGGGCCTCACCGAGTGACTTTTTGACTTAAAACTGCAGATGTCCAGCCTGTTCCATCCACCAACAATGCCTTATTCCGAGAGAACATTGCAATCTGTGCCTGTGATCCCCAAAGTGCCACATGACAGACTCTCACACCAAGTGCCACCGAATAAACGTGTTTTCCTGAAGCGAACACCACGCTGATTGAAGCTTTCTTGGAAGACCTGAAACTGCTCCCCTGGAAGCCGTAGGCGGGTTTATTTTTTCTTCGATATATGGCTTTCTTAGAAGCTTGACGTGCAACCATATGAATTCGAGCGGGTAAGGCTCATCGCTGCAGCCGCTCTGCAGCGCGGAAGGACGACGGGATCATGTGATCCGTGCTTCTTTGACCACTCAGAAAAGGGCTCAGCTGGGGCTATTCATTCTTTTCTTGCTTGTGTTCGTTCTCATCACTTCCTTAGCGCAAGCAACTAATTCAAACAGCTCAATCGAAGGTGCCAGCGCTTCTGTGGACTAGGCGTGGTTGGTCCAAACGAAAGTTTTCCCCGAAAATAGTATTTACAACTAGTAGCAAAGGGCATTGGCGATGTTTGGATTCAATTTCCAAAGGGCATTACTAGTAGTAGCTCCTCTCTCCTAGCAACAAGGGCATCGCTACTAGTAACAAGAAGCTATTAGTAGCCAGGGCGTTAAGCTACTATGTGCAAGCTTTGTAGCTGCAATCTCAGATCTGCAAGCTACACTGGGGCGGGGCAACTACTGTAGGTAGATGTAGGTAGATATCAACTGCCACTATTTGCAAGGCAAACTGGAAGCTGAGTTGAGCCATGCTCCTAACAAAACCTTGGCCACGGTGGGCATCAACACCAGCATGGCTAACGCAGGAGCAGCGCCTGGCTCACTGAACTCTTCTGTTCACTCTGCGACAGGTGTGCAGAATGCTTCAGGAATTGAGGTGAGACCAAATCAGCTTCCAAAGTGCGCCATCCGAAAGGTAGTGAGGAACTGTCCCAATTCGCCAGCAGGCGATCAGTCCACGAAGAACGCGTACGAAGCCAGTGACGCTTCTCTCAGCTCCGGTCCGGCGGTCCTGCCTCCCCAAATGATCATCGGATCCGTCTTAGCCACCTCTTCCGCATCGCGAAAACCCAAGTAGATATCGCCAAGCCTTGCTCTTTATCGGCAGACTCCCCTAGGATCCCGCAAGTTAACTCAAAAGGATCGGACAAAGTGCAGTCAGGGTGCTGAGATCCTAAATACGCTTGTGCTGGAACACCAAAGCAGGAACCAATAAGGCAACCTGAGTCACAAACAGCTGGTGAACTCTAGGACGTGAACCACAATGGCATCTCAACACAAGTACTGTATGTGGCGAGTGCTCGTGAACTCTATTGCCTTACCCCCTCTTCTTGCTTACGCCTTTCGTGCAGCCTCAGTCTGCCGTCCACCCAAAGGCTCGGAGGAAAAATAGGCTATGTAATAGCTGTTGCTCATTCCCTCCCATTTCACACATGCCAAGTTGCACGTAATGTAGTCCCGGAACCTGCACAATTGCCCTGACGCTTTCCAACACCGAAGACAACACATCAGGCCTGATATTCAGAAGCGCCAAACCATAGTTTTTCCTGGCCAACACCGGGTATCACTGGGTACTGTAGCATGCTTTTTCAATGAAATCGGCGATTGCTGGTGCTGACTGGATCGGCGTCGCTGCTGAACCACTACTCTACTCCAAGCTTCACAAAGGCTGGCACCAATGCTAAACGGAAAAGCGTCCTAAGCTGGTCACTGCGAGACAGGGAAATTGCATCATGACAGCGCCGCTGAACCCTTCCTTGCAATGTTGCTTTCATTGATTCCTACCCAAGTTTCCCATAGTATATGGGGCTGCTCACCAAAATGCGATCCACCCGTGCCACGGTTGGATGTGCCAGAACGCTGTTCTTTCCTCAGCTTGACTCCAAGAAGCTTGCTACGCAGCCCTGCAAAGCGCAAAACAAAAAAATACACTGCACAAACCCGGCAAACCAAGAGAACCCATTCAATTGACATGCGTGGCACACATGGCAGCCCCACTGGAGCGAGTCACGCCTTTTGGTGGTTGTTGGCAAGCCAAGTTGCGCGTTGTTGGCAAGACACTACGGGCCACCATAAAACAACATATGCTACCCAACCTCAGTTGTTGGTAGGCCCTATGGATCTACCAGAATCGGTAAACACGTCCTTCTGGCCAAAGCTGATCGTTCATCTGTGATCTCCACTCTCTGACACCAAGTGCTGCTTGGCGACGTTTTGGCGAACAACAGCATGCCTTCGCTGGTCAATCAGCTCTCTGTGAGATGTGGCGAATGCACATGAATGCACTTGACTCATCTGTACAATGCATAATTAATATACGCTTCATGCATGAACCACTCTTTCTGGACCACTCCACATGGTGCATGGTGCCTGAACTGCGCTGCATCCCCCGACCAAATTCAAGTCACAACAACAGCTTTCACGTGTTTCTTGTGCAATCAAGAGTCAGTCGAGTCTGTCTTTGTTTCTTCCCGGTATGTGTAAAATGCGCGCGGTATAGCGAGGGCCGTGTTGCAACCTGACTGTCCTCCGCAACTCATGGCATACCAAGCGTCACATTGATGCTTTGAAGCCATAGACCCAAGCCGCACCCAAATCAACGAGAGCAAAAGGTATGCCAGATACTGTGATGGCCTGTCCGCTAGACGAATTCAATGATGCTTGCTTCTCTCTGGGCTTCAAGATAGTCTTTGAAGCAAATGGTAGCTTGGAACATCCACCACAATCAGGCAAGCACTCTCAGCACAGGACAATTGAAAGGGTTGCATGCATCACCTCAACATCCCAATTCTCTTGATATCTTTTGAGGTTGAGGGGGGGTGGGCCCCACCTACTCGTCCGCTGAGAGCACACATTAGTAGCCTCCTATCACCTCAACCGCAACTAATGAGCATAAAATCTATAATATAGAATTATATATATATATATATACAGTTTTATCCAGCATATAGATAGGGATAAATAGGGCTAGGACCACAAACTTATCAGGTCTGACCAGGTTCGTGAAAGCCATCTCACACACCCTTGCTGTGGAGAATTGCCCTTGCTCAGCAACGAAGTCAATCCGAGAGGCACCGCCCAGCACAGGATTGCTGCGCATGAAGGACCTGATAGGCTGAGCTCGGTGAGCTCGGTGAGCTCAGCAGCGAGCCCGAACGACCGTCGTGTTACGGACCCAGCGACTCCTGGGACGGTTCGGATGTACGAAGCACTGTCAGACCCTAGCATCTTGGTAAAAATGGACGGAACCCCCATTCTGTGGCCCAACAATACCCAGAAATGCCAAGTGGGAGAAACAGCCAGCTGTCTAGTTCAAAGAGGTTCGAAAAGTCCAAGCAACGCAAACAGTGCTGCCTTGGACTTCAGAATTGGATTCGACGAGATGGCGGAGCCTGACCAGTTCATGAAACAACCCAATGCCAACAAGTCTGTTACAAGTAAGTCAAGAAACCTGTCATAACAAATGGAACCCAAGTAATTATCACATAACAAATGGATACACATGGTTTTCTCTCTAACAATTTGTTAGCTGCTGCCTACGACAAGGACACCAACCAATGCTCCAAAGCCCAGTGCTTTGTCCTGGTTCAGATGGAACATAGTAAGTCAACAAAACTGGCGTTGACTTGGCGATGCGAGGCAAACACTTATTTATGCACTTGAGGAAGCGCTCTCGTACTATTGTTGCGTCCATCTCAGCAAACAGCTTCCTTCAACTTGTTCAGCAGCTTTCCCATCAGCAGCTACCTTGCGTCTAACATAGCTCCCTCTATCAGAGTCTAGCATTGCACGCTCAACGAGACATACTGCTTTCAACATGGTAAATGTAAATCATACAACAATTCATTCCGTTCCCAAGAGCTGAACATATCTGGACATAACTTCTTGCAAAGACGCCGTGGTGGCGGGTGGCCGCGGCAGTCGCTCAAGCACGTCGGAAAGAGCTAGGACACATCAAGGTCTAGCAGCCCAGCCAACACAAGGCCGACAAACTAGGGCTTCAATCAATCTGTTTTATTCAATGTGTATGGCAAGGGTCACACATGCAAACGTTTCTTTCCTAATTATCCATATATATATATAATCTGGACAATGTGCGAGCTGCTGGCATGCTCTGATGCTTTTGTTGGACTGACTCTGAGGTTTCAAGTTACAGTAGAACAGCGTGAGCATGACTCATGTACCAGCTGCGCAGCTTTGAGGGACGGAAAATGCCACCGGACAGCACACAGTACATAGATCTGCTCGGTCCATGCAATTTCATGCATTTCGATCTTTGGTCTTGCGCCGATTCTCAGATTGCATGACATTGACCCCACGGCGCACCCAACTGGCCCTTGGGAACGACTCCATGGCGTCCATGATAACCTGTGGAACTCCGCAATCGTTCGGTGCAGAAGAAAAAGAACAAACGGGGTGTTCCACCGGAGGCATAAGTCAACAATAGCTCCTCTATTGTCTGGAGTCGAAAAGTCAAACGCATGGAGGAGCAGCGTCGGGGCTGCCCTGCAACGAACAAGATCGAACCATCAAACTGTTCTGTGAGGGATGACAAACACGGTTTTGATGCAAACTGACCCACTCTGGAGTACTGACTTTGAGGATTCTGACATATTCTGGCTTGTCCAACGAAAGGGCATGAAACGGTTCCATCAAGCGATAATCCTCAATGTTTCCTGTATCCCTTAGTATCCCTTCTAGGTTGCAGGCCCTAAAGATCTAGGAGGCGAATGATTAGTGCGAGTGCTTCAAGAAGCGTGAGCTATCCTGCGTCCTACCTAGAAGCGTCCTACTTAATAGCTGCTATATATATATGGGAGTTGATAAATTCCTTTATCCGGGATCCGTCATTTTCGCCAAAAAAAAAATTTACTTTCGCCAAACTTTCGCCTTCCTGCGTTTTATCTTTCGCCGAAGTACGTTGTATTTATGTGTGCCATGTATGTTGTGTTTTGTTCACGTCAATGGCTTCTTCTTTACGGGCAAACACAAAATAGAATTTCACTGTTTGTCAGCATGTGTCTTCTACTTAACTGTTGACACCCTGTACGTCTCTTTTGTTTCTCCTGGGTGTCAGCAAGAGTCAAAAATGCAAGAATCACTGAAGTAGCCGGTCACCGAAACTTATTCATAATGGGCTGGGGGTCAGATGTGGCAGGGTGAACTTTCGCCAATCTTGAGCTGAACTTTCGCCAAACTTTCGCCTTTTGCGGGGTAGAGTTTTGTGGCAAAGCCACCCCCC